CGGCCATCTTTTAGCATGGTTTAGTATATTTTTTGCCTTATTATGTAAAGTATTGATCCTTGTTTATGTGATCTCTATCATAGTGCAGAAGAAAAATTAGCACGGGTTCATCGGGGTCGTAGGATTTCATGGAACAATCCAACAGTCTTCACTTCGGAGCAATCCTCCTTCGGTTTCCAGTGAAACCATTTTACGAATTTCTCCAAAATGGAAAGTCATGTCACAATATATCTATCATAAGTTTATTTATTCACCTTGTTAGACGTGAGGACTTGCAAGCAGTCCTCAATATAAAACGACAATAGGGCATAATGGGCTACTGCAACAATGCCATATAGAAATGTTTGTGTTACTGCAATCCACGAGGTACTTTCCTTTGTTTCTATAAAAACGTGCTGACTTTTCATGCACAGTATAAGAGAACTCATCAGTTTTGAGTATACTCCTTACAATAATTTCAAGCCAATACCAATTGATCTACCTCACCCAACTTCATTTATATGCCTAGTTCAACCTTAAGAGGATATAAAACGATTGGTTGTGTGTATAAGCAGAAGCCTGCAACAATGGCGAATTAATTGAAATTTAACAAATCTTTCATGGGTCATCAATAATTGTAATTACCTGGTATTCAAAAGAACATAGTGGATTTGTAAGGAAAGAGAATTTTCGATGGGACTTTTTAGGTTGGCCCACCAATTATCGGCGTAAAAACATGATGAAACTCAAGGCACATAAACACGCACAAACATACACACTCATGTGCTTCCAAGTTGATATATGATTTGATCTAAATAAATTACGCTATAACTCATCAAAAAGATATAGGGTACATATACAGCATTTAGGGATAAGCCAGTGAGTTTTCTTTGCTGATTAGCTTCATGAGATATATCCACTCTATTTCGTTTAAGACTAAGGTGAAGTCGAAGTTACAGTCCATCCTGGAGGGAAACAATTTTTTGGAAAGTAAGGCTATGTGAAATTGAATGGAAACGTCAACTACTCCTTCATCACCTTAAACGAAATAGGGTGAATACATATTATAAAGTTAACTAGTCAAGAAAACTCACTGGCTCATCCCTAAATGCAGTATATATACCCTATATTTAAGCTCTTTAATGAATTATAGCGTAATTTATTTAGTTCAAGTCATATGTCAATTTGGAAGCACGTGAGTGTGCATGTCTGTGTGTGTTTATGTGCCTCCATGCGTTTGCTAATGCATGAAACCAGCGGTGATTGCTCAAAGTAATTAGAACAGAAAAATTAATGTGTTTTCTCGATCATCAGGGTTTGATTATCATAATAATTATAAACCAGGAGATTCATCAAAACCCACATTTTTCGGGCATATATTATTTTACTTGACTATCGCCGTATATTCCTGCATTTACCAAGTTTTCACAAACTTTATCGTAATCTTACTGATCATTTGACTGAGCACAAGTCAGTTTTACCAGAATAAAGCAGATAAAAAAACGATTTTGCAACAGAGCCCTATGCATAGAATAAAGCATGAATTCGAAATCTTGACGTCTTTAGGCTTATGAAAAAAAGTCTATGGTAACTAATCCAGGATTAAGTCTCTTAGTACCTAAAGGATAACCGCGATGAATAAAAAATGAGATGTGTCAGCCTACTTCATTTTATATGCTGTTGCATAGATGCCATACCATTGATACTTATAGACGTATAGTGAGACAGCATTGTCGCTTTTGTAATAGTAGACTCATTACCAATATACAAGCATTAACTGACTTTAAAGCTCCAATATGTGAAAGTACTCAAGCCACTATTAAAAGCAGAGAAATAGCTGTAATCGATTGAAAACAAAATTTTGGACTAGTTTATAGGATAAACGAGCGTCAAGGGCAAAAAGGATGAAGTATTACCTGGTTACAAGGAAGGCAGGATCACGGATAATGTCTGGGCCGACACGGACGTGACCTTGTTCGATAAATGTTACAGCAACTTTCAATTCTTCTGCCATGTGCGACCGAACAAGAAGCGAAGGTAGTCGCCGTCGGCAGAATGAGGAAGCACTGACTTTAGAAGCCAGAAGTAAGGATTTCTTAGTTGGAATAACACCTAAATTATACCTAACATAGATGAAAAAGAGAAAAGCCTGACAATTTCAATAAAAGAATTCGAGTCATTTCACACCGCCAAGGATCGTTTTCATCAAGTTCTTTGAGTTTGTCTGCAATGGATCTGATTTCTCTGGAGAGTTTATTGTAACTGAAAAAAAAAGTGAGAGAAAACAGCAGATCAGCTATGATTGCTTATTATAAATTTATGCATTAAATGGAAAGTATATTTTGTTACAATGGTTTGTCAAGTCGTTTTTTGACCTTGTTTTCGCAACTGGGTCATATTGGCAGGAAGATCTGAAGGAACTCACCATGTCCGGAGTCCATACTATGCATGATAACCTACGGAATAGGACCGTGGGCATGGTACATTCCCAGGCGTTTCGCCGGCATCGTCAGTGAGTTTCAGCACCAAACTACAACTCGTCAACTGACAAATGAAGTCAATCTCTTAAACAACTTTCTGCCTAAACGGTTATGCT